ATTCCTCAGCCACACAGAGCCTCCTGAACGTCACCCTGTCACTTTGTCCAAGTTGCAGGAGCCATCAGAGCAGAGGTGGTGTTCAGCAGGAAAGACATAACCACATTCTCTGTCACAGAGCAGGTTGGAAGGGGGTGGAGGCTGTAGGGTGAGGCCTGTCCAGGCACAGAGTGAGTCCTGGCTGTATGCCTGGGGCTGGCCAGGCAGTCATACCCACTAGGAACTGTGGCTCATGTGGGAAAATAAGAGGTAGTATCTGTGATAAAACCAGAGAACATACTCAGTGCTGACTCGCAGCTCTATAATTGCTCAGAGTAAGGGGAGAGCTCTCATTTTGAGTCCTAGGATCATGGTGAATATCACTTTCTACATCTGTAAACTTAAGGGGGTCACTCTTTGAGTGCATCTAATATTAGCATCATATTTAAGAATTGGATCTGGACAGGGCGAGGTATCTCACATTTATAATCTTAGCGCTTTGGGAGCCCAAGGTGGGAGGATCGCTTGAGCCTAGGACTGCAAAACCAGCCTGGGCAACAAAGCAAGACCCTATCTCTACAAAAAAAACTTTAAAAATGAGTGAGGCCTGGTGGCTGACGTATGCAATCCCAGCACTCAGGAGGCTGAGGTGGGAGGACTGCTTGAGCCCAGGAGTTTGAGGCTACTGTGAGCTATGATTGTACCACTGCACTCCAGCCTGGGCAATAGAGTGAGACCCTGTCTCTAAAAAAGAAAAAAGAAAAAGAACTGGAGGCCGGGTGCGGTGGCTCACGTCTGTAATCCCAGCACTTTGGGATTCCGAGGTGGGCAGATCACCTGAGGTCAGGGGTTCGAGACCAGCTTGCCTAACATGGTGAAAACCCGTCTCTCTCTCTTTTTTTTTTTTTAGACAGAGTCTCGCTCTGTCACCCAGGCTGGAGTGCAGTGGCGTGATCTTGGCTCACTGCAACTTCTACCTCCTGGGTTCAAGCGATTCTCCTGCCTCAGCCTCCCAAGGAACTGGGACTACAGGCTCCCGCCACCATGCCTGGCTTATTTTTGTGTTTTCAGTAGAGACAGGATTTCACTGTATTGGCCAGGCTGTTCTCGAACTCCTGACCTTATGATCTGCCCACCCCGGCTTCCCAAAGTGCTGGGATTATAGGTGTGAGCCACCCCACCTGGCCTGTGAAACCTCATCTCTACTAAAAATACAAAAATTAGCTGGTGGGCATAGTGGCAGGTGCCTGTAATCCCACCTACTCGGGAGGCTGAGGCACGAGAAGAGCTGAAGCCCAGAAGGCAGAGGTTGTAGTGAGCTGAGATTGTGTCACTGAGCTCCAGCCTGTGCCACAAAGTGAGACTCCATCTAAAAAAAAAAAAAAAAAAAAAGAACTAGCTCTGCAGAGGCTTCCGGTGGAGGTGATGCTGGGCCTGAAGCATGAGAGCATCTGGCTTAATAATTGAGGGTATGGGGTCAGGTGTGGAACCTGAGCAGTGTCTCCACAGGCAGGACGAGCCTTGAATTTGGCTACCCTCAGGGCTGTTCCTCACGGAGCCCAGGCATGGCTGTGAAGCTGGACCTGAGCCCTGCCTCTGTTCGCAGGAAGGGGAGGGTGCAGAGGATCTGCTGGGGGCGGGGCAGGGTGAAGACAACTGCCCCAGGCCAGCAAGGGCGCAGAAAAGAGCATGGCAGCCCCCATGCAGAGATGAGATGGTAAAGGGAGACAAGGCTGTGTTTTGAGGACATTCTTGGATTTTATGAAAAGACTTTAAAAACCCCCAAGCCCCAAAACATTTTCTTGGATTTTCATCTGAGCCCATCATATCTCTGCTCTCAGCAAGTGTGCCTGATTTAATAAAATCAGTACTGGCAGCCAGCAGCATGTTTTTGTTCTAGAACCTTAGACTATATATATATATTTTTTTTGATATAGAGTTTTGCTCTTGTTGCCCAGGCTGGAGTGCAATGACACAATCTCGGCTCGCCGCTACCTCCGACTCCTGGGTTCAAGCGATCTCCTGCCTCAGCCTCCTGAGTAGCTGGGATTACAGGCATGCCTCACCATGCCTGGCTAATTTTGTATTTTTAGTAGAGACGGGGTTTTTCCATGTTGGTCAGGCTGGTCTTGGACACCCGACCTCAGGTGATCCGCCTGCCTTGACCTCCCAAAGTGCTGCGATTACAGGCATGAGCCACCACTCCTGGCCACCTTAGATTATCTTTTAAAAAATAAGAAGAATTATAAGTAAAATAGTACAGAAAGTTTATAAAGTCAAGAGTAAGTTTCTGCCCCCTCAGCACTCCACCCAGCCAAAAAACAAAAAACCACTCCCTAGAGGTAACTACTGTGAACCATTTTGAGTCTGCGCAGGGTACCAACAGGGGCTTGTGTGGTGTGTACTCTCAGGCCTCAGGGTGAAGCTTGCTCTGGGTCTCTTCTGGGCTGAACCTTTTCCAGGAAGGAAGAAGGGACTGCGGCTGTGGTGTGACAGGGGTAAGCCCAGGACCCCTCCAGAGAGGCTTCTCGGCCAGGTGCGGTGGCTCAGGCTTGTAATCCCAGCACTCTGGGAGGCTGAGGCAGGTGGATCA